GCGGGAAATTTACGGTGGGTTCGGCGAGTGGGACGGGAAAGGAGGGGGTGACAGAGACGGTGCTTTCCATGGAGTGAGTTTGTGGTGGAATGGAACGACACGCATGGTGTTCAGGTTCTGCTTTTCACAAAACAATTTAACAATTACTTGATTGTGATTTTTTCTCCAAAAAACGCCAATGTACTATATTTATTCATCAAACATCATGATGGTACAAAGAACATGAAAATTAAAAGAAATTAAATCCATGTCTCTAAACCACCTAGCGAGGGCTACAAGCACTGGAGCTAGCCGAAGGCACGCCGCTGTCATCATTCCTCACTTATTGGAGTCAGGCAAACCTTATTGTAGCAGATACTCGAAGAATAGTTGTGCTAAGACCCCAAAGGACCACACCGGAGCAACAACCGTCACCGATGAAGACAAGCATAGATCAAATGGGTCCAACCCATAGACACACGAACGCAGACGAACAAAGACTGACGAGGATGAGTATGCGGATGACATGGCGACTATGCAGGCGGTCCTTGCAGACGCGGAGCATGCAGAAGAGCATGTTCTCCAATTTCAAGGGATCGATCGATGGTCATCGAGTGTTGATTTGGAACATGGCACAAGGGCATTTGACATTAATGGACGACTTCTTTGCCCCGATGCCCTATTCGCGGACAATTTTCGCTAGCCCTTTCGGATGCGGGAAAATATGCCTCATCGTCTCTGTCGTGGAATTATCACGTCAGATGTCCTAAGAAACGGACTTCGTCGTGGAGCCATCGCAATAGGAAGCTTGAAGGGGTTAATCGGGACAAGAGACGAGAGTTTTATACTAGTTCAGCCCCTTACGATGAAGGTAAAAGCCTACGTCTAGTTGTGATAGAATTACTGGGGTCTCGATGACTAGGGAGCAAATACGCTTTGCCTGAGTCTTGAGTTGTTGTTCCTTGTCCTAAACCGCCGCCGGGTCGTCCCTTTATATACAGAGGTCGACACCCGGCGGCTCTACATAGTCTCGGCCGGCTTATAAACAATACCCGGCTCGGTCTCTTAATCTTTCTTGTCTTACAATACAAGTCGCACTTATACAACGGTTTATCACTACGGGCCTTAAGTCGCCTCTGGGCCTTGGGCCCTTACTAAGCCGCCGCCTTCAACCTTGAGCGTTGGGCTTCAAGAATGCTTATAGGTATAACCCGGCCTCTCCCGGCGGGTCATACCCAATAACTATATCCCCAACATTAGGCCCTAGATTGATTTGAACTGGTTCATGTCAGTCTTCGACACTTAAGAAAAGTCTTCTGCTCTTGGCTTATGAAATTTCCTGTAACCCGCCATGACGTCATCCTTCGAATTTGTGGTAACCCACCATGACGTCACCTATTATAAATGCATATTGTCCAATGCATCTCAACGGATCTCTGTCTTAATGACCATCCGAAAACCGAGGCACCTTTGTAGCTTGATAACTATGTTTTTTCGGTCTCCTCGTTTTTCGCGCCCATTCAGCAGGTTTTTCCTTATAAATGGACCCGACTAGGTCTCCTCTCATTCTCCGTTCGCATCTTCTTCCTCTCGCCCTCATCTGCTACTGGAGCTCCGCCGCCGTCGCCACTCCGCCCTTCGTCCTCATCGAGCTTGGCCGCTCCATCAACCTGATCTTGACCAGAGAACGACAGCGCTCCTTCTCCGCAGATCCTCCACAGTAAGTTCTTCCTCTTTCCGCGCCATAGATCTGCACTAGGGCTAGTCATGTTCCTCTGTACGGGCGTAGTTCATCGGAGTTCTTGTGCTTTTTTCCTTGCCATGGCTTCGCCTGATCCAAAGAACCCCATGGATCTGATGCGGTTAGTGTTTCGCATCCATTTTGATTATCAATAAATCTCCTTTCCTTGTAAGAAAACCTCATCATAGCATATGAACTTCTCTGCGCCCTGTTTTTAGGTCTAGTAATATTTATTTTCCAAACCTTTATTTGATCCAAAATAACTGCTGCAAACTGTGAAACCTGTTTGTACAACACTTAGGCAGAATCCATACTCTGTTAGATTTATCCAGTCATGGCGACTCTGATCGCCGACTTATAAGGAAGTAATGCTCAATTAATCATCTAGACCACCTCTATTGGTAGAAACATGCTGACGGCTTATAAAACCTATGGCGGCTTAAGTAACCAGGACATAATTATCCTTATACCATTAGGCCCCTTCATAAGCCGCCATATTGCTTTATTCACAGTAATACCTTTATCCAGCCTGGCTTAAATTTGAACCGGCCCCTTTTACTTTGTCTTAGGCTTTCAAATAGAATGGTGCCCAAAGCACCTACCTCTTGCAACTGGGTGAAATCCATTGTCACTGACAGCACCTTGAATGACTTTTTGACAACCGGCTGTCTGCCGAAGAAAGAAGTCATGCATTATCGTGCTCCTAACCCGGACGAAGAAGTTCCTCAACCCAAAGAAGGGGAGGTCATTGTTTTCACAAATCATATGAATCGGGGTTTTACTCCTCCTGGTTCAAAGTTCTTTAGAGATGTGCTAAAGTTTTTTGACCTTCACCCACAAGACATTGGACCCAATTCCGTGTCTAATATCTGCAACTTCCAAGTATTCAACGAAGTTTATCTTGGTGAAGAGCCCAATTTACTGCTCTTCAGAGAACTGTTGTACTTGAACCGCCAGACGGAATGCGCCAGCGGCCAGAGCTTGGAACTTGGCGGAGTTTCAATCCAGCGCCGCAGAGATGTGATTTTTCCGTATGCTAACCCGCCAAGCCATCCCAAAGACTGGAACATGACATGGTTCTACTACAAGGACACCTCTCCGGCTGACGAGAACCCTCTGCCCGGCTTTCATGCCCTTCGTCTTGACACCAATCATCCTCTGCTTGACAAGATTACTGCCGCAGAGCGCAAATCCCTTGCTCCTACTCTGGCCAAGATCAAGGCTCTGCTGGGGAACGGGTTGACTGGTATTGACCTGGTTCGTGTATGGCTTGCCTGGTGAGTTATTCCATTGAGCCGCCGTCCTGTCTTAATGTGCGAATATATCGGCGCCAAGAATGATCCCCTGCGTCATAGCCCTGTCGACTTACCTGCTCATGTTGTTGACGACATGACCAAATCTCTCCTCAACGAGAGTCTGGCGGATTGTGGCAGAGTGGGTCTAGTCCCTTTCTGCAAAGATAACCCGGCTCCAAAGGTAAACCGTCCATATGAAATGTTTATCTTATTTTCTTAATGTTTCTCTCGTACTCATAAATATGCTTAATCCTTGCAGGCGGGTGATAAATTTTGGAAAGTTAAATATGATCATGAAGCTGCTAAGGGAGCAAGGAAGGAAAAGAAAGCCGTCAGGAAAGAAGCTGTAAGAAAGAGGGGCAAGAAAGCCTCCACTTCTGACCTGCTTCGGCTATCGGATTCTTCTGAGTCGGAGGTAGCCCTTGACTCTCTTGGCTTATTTTTTAATCACCTTATTGACACTGATCATCAGCAGGAGGACACTGGGACAAGCCGAAGCAAGGCTGATGAGGTAACTATCCTTTCCTCCGACTCCGAGCCTTTGCCAAGACAGAAACTCCGCATGGTGACCCGGAAAGTAAGATTTGCTCATCCTCTAGCTCATCACGATCCTCAATTTCTTTTGAAGCAACAAATTCATGAGAGCCGGAGGCAGACCCGGACCAGCAAAAACGTGGAGCTATCCTCCGGCTTACCAAATACTCCAAGGAAACACCGAAATGAGGTTACCCCTACTTTAAATAAGTTTTACCCCTTGGCGGGTCTCTTTCGTCAACCACTCAATCCCTCTGACTCGGATTATCAGGATACTTCCCCTTCCTCCGGTGAGTCATTGCAATCCAATCTGCCAGCCTTCAAGACTGCTCCAGGGTATATTAACCCGCTCATCTTGCATTTATTTAAATCCCTTGCACCTGTGTCAATCTTTTATTTTGGAACAGTGGTCAAGCCAAACCCAGCAAAAGGGTTAGAAAAAACAAATCAACTGAGGATAGAGTTACAACTGAACCGGGTCTTGAGACGGTCGTGCCAGACTCAACCACTCATGAGACGCCGCCTGAACCAGCTCAAGACTTCACTCCTCCTACCACCGACCTGCCCACTGATCAAGGTGTTGATGAATCAGAGAATCTGGAGGCTCCTAGCCCAGTCCGAACAGATGATCCTTCCAATGCTGATGTGGAGATTACCAGAACCAGCTATGTTGAGCCGGGAAGGCCAACTGTACTGGCCAAATGCTCCGCCAAGGAAGAACTTCTGGACCAGCGCCAGGTCAAGATGGATGTCACTAATTATGCTCATATGAGCATTGGAGATATCTTCTCTGGCTATATGAG